TATATCTCTAGATAGATAGATAGATAGATAGATAGATAGATATATATATTACACACACAGTTTATTTTTATTTTACACTTAAGCCTTACCAGCGCTGGTGGTTTTTGAACCACTAATTTCACGGACAAAGATAGGTTCATCATCGTCCTCCTCTTCTTCGTTAGCATCTTTCTCTGGTTGCTGCCATGGTTCAAGTTCTTCCTCCTCACATTCCATCAAAAGTTCAGCCATTTCATCCTTAAAAATAAAACAATACATATCCAGATTCCTTGCAAATTCCAACACACAATGTTCAAGAAAGAATGATACACCACACCAGATCCACAAGTTAGTTCAGCTCTGATCTATTCCTAACCGCATGTAACTGTATCACATACCATTACATGTGGAGTGCAGGTGGACTGCTGACTTCAAATGCGGACAATGTCACCTGATCATTAACTCGAATGGGTGACAGAGGCCGCTTGTAAACGTCACATTTTGGGATTCCTGCCACAGGAATTTGTAGATTCCTCTGGAGGAATCCCAAAACGCACTTCCACACCTTGTGTAAATGATGCTTTAACAGCACTTTTTAGCCATCCGAAGACACCCTTACAACATGCAGCTGTACATTAAAATACATGATAAAATATACACAATTGCAAAACCATTTAAAGGATCTACCCACCCAAAAAAAAGATGGCAGTTATGGGTGGATTTTGGTGAGCTGGAATTGGCACAAGCTTCTTTTATTTTCTGCCAAATTCATAGGCGAGACCCACCAATGTTTTATGACTGTAACCACCCCAGATGTGCAGTTTCTGAAAAGTTATGTATAAAGCAAAACAAAAAGATAAAAGTAAAGAAAAAAAAATTTTGCTCCAGAAATATACATGAAGCTGGTGGGTGACTCAACCTGCTGGCATCTACCCAAAATTGAAATAGTTTTAGTTGAACGGACCCTATAATTATAATCACATAACAGGAGTATCCTAAAAATGTACCAAGGTTCATGAATGTAGCTCTTATGTAAAAGGAAATATTTATCAAAACAATAAATAACACATTCCGCTCATTAGGTTATAATTGTTTGTTCACAATTCTAAAACTGTAAAGCTGGCCATACACCTTACAATTATCTGCAGATTTTCTGTGGTCAGATGGAAAAGGTGCAACAGATTCCTCCATCTACACTTAACTGTGTGGATGGAGTAATCTCCACCTGGGACAATCTGTTGCACTTTTTCCACAGAAGAAGAAAATCTGCAGATAATTGTGAGGTGTATGGGCACCTTTAGGCTTGTGCAATGAGATTAAATTAGAGCACCTGTGAAGCAGTTTACCTTTCCCAAAACCTGCAGTCAGTCACAATATTAGAAACAACTGTCAGGCGGCAAATCAGTGGAAGAATTGCCCATATTGTAAAGTAAGGCATCACCGGGCATTGCTATGTCCAAGTACTCAGTATACGCAGAATGTCTAATATAGAATAGTCAGCACTCAGATAAGTTCACTCTGTATTTCTTAGTAGCTAAAGAAGTTCCTGCATGAATGACGAGCTCCATTCATTTCTATAGATGCATATAGGAGGTTATTTACACACAGTGGAAGTAGGTGTAATCCATACCGATAGTCCAAAACAATTCCTGGGAATTATACCCTTTGCAGGCCAATGTCTAGTCCTTTACCCACTTGCTCTGTGTCTGACAGTTTCCATTCATATCTTTTTAGACTAATGCAGCCATCACTAGCTGTTCAAAAGGTGTAGAGAAGTAAGTTGTGTCTGAGATGCAACAAAAGTCAGGTATATAGGCTTTTAGTTTCTTTGTTCAACCTTTTATTGAAAGGGAGTTAGGGCCAGTTCACACCATATGCAGTTGTGCTGCAGTCCGTTTATTTCAACTGCTGCAGTTAAAATACATACAACTTCTTTGCAAGCTAGCAACAGGACTAAAAATCCACAGATTACAAAAAAGTAGTAATAAATGGTTTCAGTTTAGGGCTGCAGCAACTAATCGACATAATCGATTATTGAAAAAGTTGTCAACTTTTTCAATAATCGATTAATCTGCTTCCGACCAGTTGGCCCTGTTCACAGCTCCACACGCTGTGTGCCGCACCTCCTCCCCACCTCACACTCGCCGCTGCCAGACCCGCTCGCATCCACGCTCCACACAGCGCACATCCTCCCCGCCTCACATTTCCTGCACATCCACGATCGGCACAGGGACGCGGGGAGATGTAGTAAGGAGGAGCAGGTGTGGGGGGATGACAGCTGCTGATAGACAGGTCCGATCTCAGAAGCACGTTGCTGGAAGACTGCACTTTCCCACACATGGTGCTCTATAATATATTGCTGGGATTTGTATTTCTCTATAGCTGATGGTACATTGTGCTGTATATTATACATAGGAATACAAATCCCAGCAATACATTATACACTGTATGTATAATGTATTGCTGGGATTTGTTGTA